TGCTGTTAGGTGAATTGGATCCTGTCTAAATTGTCCCTAGTATGTGTATGTATGAATGTGAGTTAGGGACCTTAGATTGTACACCCCTTGAGGGTTAGGGACTGATGTGAATGTACAATATATATGTAAAGCGCTGCATAAATTGACGGCACTATATAAGTACCTGAAATAAATAATAAATGAATCCATTTTTCCTTTTTTGAAATTATTGCTTATGTGGTATGCTCCTTCCCCTAATTAATGGGATATATAACAAATAAGCTTGTGACCTAGAAGGATCAAGTATATTTTAACTTTTTGTGCTTGCTTAAATGTACTATATATACTCGAGTATAAGCCGACCCAAATATAAGCCGAGGTACCTAATTTTACCACAAAAAACTGGGAAAAACTATTGACTCGAGTATAAGCCGAGGGTGGGAAATGAGGCACCTACTAGTCAATGTAAAAAATTGGTGTCAGTGGGAGGAATAGTGCCCCATCATTGGTGTCAGTGGGAGGAATAGTGCCCCATCATTGGTATCACTGGGAGGAATAGTGCCCCATCGTTGGTGTCAGTGGGAGGAATAATGCCCCATCATGTTGTCTGTGGGAGGAATAGTGCCCCATCATTGGTGTCAGTGGGAGGAATAGTGCCCCATCGTTGGTGTCAGTGGGAGGAATAGTGCCCCATCATTGGTGTCAGTGGGAGGAATAGTGCTCCATCGTTGGTGTCAGTGGGAGGAATAATGCCCCATCATTAGTATCTGTCAGGAATCTAGGAATGACCAGAAAGGTGTGGACTGACACAGGGAAACGCAGGTTTCAGGTATAGCATAATAATACAGTTTAGTATTAGCCACCCAGATATATATATATATATATATAAACGCACAGTGAACAAACCAACCTTCCACTAACCTTAGTAGGTGCAGGAACACAGGCGTAGTCAGGGCTGGAGAGGTGGAACAGTCAGGCCGGCAGTAGGGTTCTGTAATGACCGTTTGGTGGTACCTCTAGTGGTCCCCAGGACAGGATTCCCCAGGGCGCGGAGTCTAAGTCCCAGTCTGCTTATTCACCAGGGCCCCTGATGGTGAGGATGGACTTGGAGCAGACAGGAACCAGGTCGCGGCCCCCTGAGTACACCTGCTAGTGGTAGAGGGATCCGCCAGAGGTATGTGCAGGTACGGCTGGATCCATGCAGGATGGATGGATGGCAGAGTAGTTAGCGTGGTCAGACGGGCCAAGTCAGCAACATGCGGGCAGCAAGGTACCAAAAGAGCAGGCAGAGAATGGTCAAGGTCACAAGCCGGGTTCAGTAACTCACGGGCAGCGCGGTACAGGGGATCAGGCAGAAAGATGGTCAGGCAAGCCAGGGGTTCAACAGGAGACGGTCAGCAGAGGTCAGGATCAAGCCGGGTCAGCAACGAAGCAGGAACACAAGATACCAGGTACAGAGGCTCATGGGAAAACATACACCAAGGCCCAGATCACAGGCCTGGTCATGCCTTAAATACACCTTTCTGCAATCAGCCCCAGGTTTGGCTGATTGCACGTGTGATCTTCTGGCTGCTGAGAGCACCCGCTGGTCAGCTCTGGTACTGCAGCCCACACGGCAGATGAGTCCCACCACCAGTGCTGAGTCCATTCCTGACAGTACCCCCCCCCTCAAGGAGCGGCCTGAGTCCATTCCTGACAGTATCAGTGACACCAATGATGTGGCACTATTCCTCCCACTGACACCAATGACACTTGATGACCCCTGTTGCAGTATGGTGCTGCTGCAGCCAGCATATGTGGTTGCAGCAGCACCTCTGCACTGCACACTTACCGGCTTTTCCCTCACTCAATTTTCGCGGGTCCGCTCGGCTCCGCCTCCTCGCCCGTGATTGGCCGCCTGTGTACCTTTCCCGAGCTACAGTTCTGGCGGCCAATCACCGGTGAGGAGGCGGAGCCGAGCGGCAGGAGTGAGGGAGTGGGCGGAGTGACGGAAGGAGCAGCGCTTCCTGGATGGATCATCGCGGGACTGGAGCCAGGTAAGAGACAGCAGCCCTCTGCCCACCCCTGTACGCGCCCCCCCCTTGACGGAGCCTCGCGCCCCCCCTGGGGGGCGCGCCTCACTATCTGCAGATGTTGACTCGAGTATAAGCCGAGGGGGCCGTTTTTCAGCACAAAAAATGTGCTGAAAAACTCGGCTTATACTCGAGTATATACGGTAAGTGCTGCAGTTTAGTGCGAAAGACAAAGAAAACTCTGTGGATCCATTCACATCTAAACGTGTGTTTTACCAAGTGTACTGCATGCACACAGAACAGTGTAAATCTGAGCAGGTACAGTTATATCCATATATATTTGGACACAGGCACAATTTTAGTTTTTTTCAGGTACTTACCAAAACATATTCAAGCTATAGTTCTATAATTGATATGGGCTGAAAGTGCACACTCTCAGGTTTAATTTGAGGGTATGTACATCCAAATTGGAGGAAGTATTTAAGAATTACAGCTCTTAAAATTAGCCTTTTTCAAGGGGCCAAAAGTAATTGGACAATTGAATAAAAAGCTGTTTCATGGCTAGGTGTGGGCTACTCCTTTGTTATTTCTTCATCAATTAAGCAGGTAAAAGATCTGGAGTTTATTCTAAGTGTGGTATTTGCATTTGGAATCTATTGTTGTGAACCTACATCATGTGTTCAAAGGAGCTGTCCATGCAAGTGAAACAGGCCATTGTAAGGCTTCAAAAATGAAACACATCCATCAGAGAGATAGCAGCAACATTAGAAGTGGCCAAATCAACAGTTTGGTACATTCCGAGGAAAGAAGAATGCACTGGTGAGTTCTGCGACATAAAAAGACATGGATGTCCATGGAAGACAACAGTGGTGGATGATCGCAGGATCCTCTCTATGGTAAAGAAAAACCCATTCACAACATCTAGACAAGTGAAAGACACTCTCCAGGAGGTGGGCGTATCATTGTCAAAGTTTACAATCAATAGAAGACTTCACGAGAGCAAATACAGAGGGTTCACCTCAAGGTGCAAACCATTCATAAGCCTGAAGAGTAGAAATGCCAGATTAGACTTTGCCAAAAAACATCTAAAAAAGCCAGACCAGTTCTGGAAAAGCATTCTTTGGACGGATGAAACGAAGATTAATCTGTACCAGAATGATGGGAAGGCATGGAGAAGGCTTGGAACAGTTCATGATCCAAAGCACACAATGTAATCTGTAAAACATGGTGGAAGCAGTGTGATGACATGGGCCTGCATGGCTTCCAGTGGCACTGGGTCATTGGTGTTTATTGATGATGTGACAGAAGACAGAAGCAGCCAGATGAATTCTGCAGTGTTTAGAGATATACGGTCAGCCAAGATTCAGCCAAATGCAGCAAAGTTGATTGGACGGTGCTTCACAGTACAGATGGACAATGGTCCAAAACACACTGCAAAACAACCCAGGAGCTTTTGCAGGAAAAGAAGTGGAATATGGCCGAGTCAACCACCTGATCTCAACCCAACTGAGCATGCATTTCACTTGCTGACGGCAGAAAGACCCACAAACAAAGAACAACTGAAGACAGCTGCAAAGAGACTGGCAAAGAATCAGAAAGGAGGAACTCCAGTCTTTGGTAATGTCCATGGGTTCCAGACTTCAGGCAGTCATTGCCAGTAAAGGATTCTCAACATACAAAATATTGAAAAATGAACATTTTATTTATGATTATATTCATTTGCCCAAATATATTTGAGCTCCTGAAAATCGAGGGACTGTGTATAAAAATTGTTACAGTTCCTAAAATTTGTACTTGATATTTATGTTCAACCCCTTGAATTAAAACTGAAAGTCTGCATTTCAAATTCATTTGGATTGTTTAGTTTTAATTTATTCTGGTGGCATACAAATGAAAATTGTGCCTGTGTCCAAATATATATCGACCTAACTGTACATATACTAATTTGCCAGCCTTTAGAATGTTATTCTGTTCCAGATTTAAAAGAGAACTGTTTATTACCAGTAGTAGTGTATCCACCATAGTGCAGTGGTATAATGTGAAAACTCCAGCAAGAGCCTGAGGAGACTTCAAATGGGTTAATGAATTCCATATATAGCATTACACCAAGGGTGTCCAACCTGCGGTCCAAGACGGCTATGAATGCGGCCCAACACAATCACAATCTTATTTAGAAATGTTTATTTTTTTGGAATTTTTTTTATAAAATGGTGTTTACACTTAGCAAACACATACTAGACTTTTATAAGAGTTATCTTCCCAAATAAAAATATTCCACTCTTTACAACCACGCCTTATTCATGTCATCAATTTTTGGCAGCACCTACATTTGTGAGCAACAATTTTTTTTTTAAAGGATGAGGAACACAAAAGGGCAAAATTAGAACCAAGGTATCGGATGAGCACCTTGCTACTACATCCATCGGATCAAATATTGATGCATTAGTTTATCAAACACTGTCAAATATCGCACTCGTTTTTTGTTTCCCTCATTAACTTTTATAATAAAAATATTACAAAAAAAAATTAAGTTGTTTTACTAATACATTTAATAATACAGCTATCTTATGTATTAAATGTAGTACTAATACAATTATCTATATCAGTGATCGTCAACTTGTGATCTGCCTGACTTTTTCTGCTCATCTGCTCATCAACTGTCCTTATTGTTAGTGTATATGTGGCCCAAGACCATTCCTCTTTTTCCAATGTGGCTCAGGAAAGTCAAAAAGTTAGACACCCCTGCATTACACACTTCAGTTGTACATTGTGCATGTAGAAATACAGATGACAGTAGAAAAAATTGAACAAATATAACACAGTAATATTCTGATTGATTCATTATTTAATACGTTATGTAAGGAACAAGCCTACATTTCTTCAGTGGATCAATCATTAAGCTCTAAAGTCATTGCATGACCTGGTCAGCTATGTTTGTGTGGCTAGTAAGATGCATATGCTACAGCATCCATTCCGTGAGAGCAAGTGATATGCCAAGCCGTAACTAACCGTGAAAGGTTGTTCTGGAGCATGTTGGCATATACTCCGATGAGAACATGTTCATCAGCCAGCCTGTCTGCCACATCCAGGCTGTACTGTAACCTAAGAGAAGGTTTAGGAAATACATCAAATTTTACCAGGAGTCAGAAATAGCAATACAAAAAAGTGTACCACAATGAACCACAAACTGGAAAGTCTCAGGTTAAAGAGCAGAATCAGAAAATAAAACATGCAGGACATTCTCTCTCCTCTAAGCAAGACAGGAGATGCATGCTCTGGTTAGTTGGAAAATAACTACATTTTTGTACCAGCCTAATTTAATCAAATTAAAAGCTCAGCCATCTGGGAACAGCAACTGGCAAAACTGATCATGCTCTGAATTCTTATTTAATTTTTCCCTTCTGGTAAATAAACACAACTTCATACAGGACCAGAGGGAGAAGAGTAAAAATATAAGGCACAAATGGTTGCAGTAGTTATGTACACCTGGAAACTCAAGGACTGAGGGCACAAACTTAAGTCACCAAAAAGCATAAGAAAACACTAGCATATCATTTCTCTCCTAACCCTTTAAGCCAATACTGTCTCAGCCTTTTAGCATACTTTAAATGTTTATTTTCATGTATTTGCAGTCAAGCAGCGAACATGTTGTATTTCTGAATCATATGGGTTAAATTAAATTTTAGGAAATTTTGTTGAAAAAGTCACCATGAAGTCCTGCCATCAAGATTTAGGTGTGCTGGCAGCACATTACTTACCGTCTCCTCAACATGGAAAAGGTTACCTCTTTTCCATGTGCCTACTTAGGGAGCTATATTACTCCCTCCTATAAACTACTATACAAGCAAATTACCCAAGCCTTTATAGGGAACACTTGACATTCCCTTTGTTTTTCTTGGGTAGGCAGAATACCAGCAGCAAAACTACATATCTTTTTTTAACCACTTTGCCTCCGGAAAATTTTAACCCCTTCATGAACAGGGCGTTTTTAGTGCCGGTTCACATATATGCAGATTGGATGCAGTTTGAACCACATCCAATCTGCATGAAATGTGAAATAACTACTTCCTATGGTGCCTGTTCACATATATCTGATGCACTGGCGGTACGGATTCAGTGTGGTTTGAAAGAGTCCTGTATAATTTCTGAGCAGTGCTGGCTGGTCTAGGTGTGGATTACAGGCTATTGACTTATATGGGAACTGTTTCTAAACCGCACGTGTAAAGAGGGTAAAATCCTGACCTAGTCCTGTCCTGAACCTGAGGTAAACCTGACATGAACTTATGAACAACTATTGTGTCAATTAGCTGTGAAACCTGAGCTTCAATCTGCACTGTACATGTGTGAATTGGCTCCTAGTTATTCAGCATGCTATTTTACCTGGCAATTGTGCGGTCATGCAACACTGTACCAAATGAAACTTATGTAATTTTTTCACACAAATGGCACTTTCTTTTGGTGGTATTAGATCACCACTGGGTTTTCTATTTTTTTTTTGTATTATAAACGAAAAAAGACCGAACATTTTGAAAAAAAACCCCAAAACTAGATTTTTAATTTCTGTTATAAAAAAATATCCAGTAAAATCAAATATCTTCATAAATGTAGGCCAAAATGTATTCTGCTACATATATGTGGTACACAAATTCCAAGAAGTGGATATTAATTGGTTTGTGTGAAAGTTTTAGCGACTGACACTGATGTCACTAGTGACACTAATACAGTGATCATACTGTACTAATGACACTGGCTGGGAAGGGATTAACATCAAGGGGAAATGAAGGGGTTAACTGTGTGCCTAACAAGTGTAATGTGTGCTGCTTTTATTCACAGATCAGTCAGTTTTTTTCCCCTGAACTCAGAGTTGATTTCAGGGAGAAGAATCGGCCAGATCGCTGTCTGTGGTCAGAGTTTTGTGTGTTTGTAAACACAAAACTCTGTGCTGTGATTGCCCACAGCCTATCAGCAGGTATAAAGACACAATCAATGGCTGCAACCTCCTATCAAACATGTGTTGTGACCAATCACAGCCCACGTCAGCAGATGGCATGTGCACATGCATGCCTGAAAACCAGGAAGTTTCCTGTGACGCACTGGTATGTCGCAGTGCATGATTGTGGCACCCGCTAGAAAAATGTACTGTTAATGGCAAGAGTTAAACTTCTGTATTCCTTATTTACTTGGTATTATCAATACCTATTCAAAGTCGCACCTTACATACTGAACAATGCAAATTTCTACAATTTGGGGACATATGAGAGTCTGAGCAGCTTCCCCAACTTTATAGAGAACAAACTTTTTGCTAATCTAAAAAGCTAATATGGTTTCCACCGCATTACCACCCTTCTGTTTTTGATGTGACATTACACTATTCCCTGAAACAATGGAATTCAATTAACTTCTCCAGTAGCATTTCCCCAATTTAACCTTATTGGGAATAATTCATTTCCCTTTATTTCGCCCAGCATAGAAGTCCCTGGCATTTAAATTCTGGTCAAACAGTCCAATACAGTCAGGTCCATAAATATTGGGACATCGACACAATTCTAACATTTTTGGCTCTATACACCACCACAATGGATTTGAAATGAAACAAACAAGATGTGCTTTAACTGCAGACTGTCAGCTTTAATTTGAGGGCATTTACATCCAAATCAGGTGAAAGGTGTAGGAATAACAGTTTTCATATGTGCCTCCCACTTGTTAAGGGACCTTCTTTTTAAGAATGTTCCAAACAGTTGTTTTGGCCACGCCTAATGTTTTTGCTATCTCTCTGATGGGTTTGTTTTGTTTTTTTCAGCCTAATGATGGCTTGCTTCACTGATAGTGACAGCTCTTTGGATCTCATTTTGAGAGTTGACAGCAACAGATTCCAAATGCAAATAGCACAATTGAAATTAACTCTGGACCTTTTATCTGCTCATTGTAATTGGGATAATGAGGGAATAACACACACCTGGCCATGGAAAAGCTGAGAAGTCAATTGTCCCATTACTTTTGGTCCCTTAACAAGTGGGAGGCACATATGCAAACTGTTGTAATTCCTTTCATTTCATTTCAAATTCATTGTGGTGGTGTATAAAGCCAAACATGTTAGAATTTTGTCGATGTCCCAATATTTATGGACCTGACTGTCTGTGCAAAACCTAATCACCTTCACAAGAATTAAGACTTTTGACTACCTCCAGGAATTTTGGAAGGCATCCAGTTCTGAATGTTTTAGATATATTCAGATCTCCTTTTTCCTCCACACTTTCCTGAAAGATAAATCTGAGATGTTCTAGTCATATCTAACTTTTTCAGGAAGAACAATGGACCAGATGAATGTAGATTTGAACAGGTAGCAAGTTGCCAAGCGTTCTTCTAATGTACTAGCGTACTTGGAAAACACGTAAGGTTTTGATGTGTTAGTACCTAATCCCTGTAAGTATAGCTTAAAGTGGGACTTTAGTCAGAAAGACGTCCTGATAGATTACTTCATGTTAGCCTGTTTTGCAGCTATACCTATGTAAAGCATTAAAAATAAGTGCCTATACAAAATTCAGAACTGCACAGTCTGATCCTGCTCTGCACAGCCTTAGCATTGTGCCAGAAATCAGAGCCACTAGAGGCTGATCTGCTGGCAGCTTAAAAATTTCATGCTGCTCAGTGGCTCTGGGCTTCAGAAAAATGGCAGTCTCCAGCATAAAGGAGCCAGAACAATGTTGGAGGCAATTAGCAGCACACACCAATTTTGGTAGCATAATAATTCATGAGTAATGTATGTTCCTTGCTAAAGAACATTATTTTTTTTATCAAGCTGTTATATGTAAGGCTTCCCTTTTAAACATTCAGCGACTGAGCCATTGTAGCCTTACTGATTGGCTCTGAGGCTCACAGAACACAGCTCTGTCAGCACAGAGCTGTGTTCAGTGACAGTGGATCTAGTTGATTATTCATTCCCTGAAACAACTAAATCCACAGTAAAAGCAGCACACAGTACACACACAAACACATGTTAGGCACATATTTAACCCATTGATCACCCTAGATGTTAACTCCTTCCTGCCCAGTGTCAGTACAGCAACAGTGCATATTATTAGCACTGAGCACTTTAATAATGGCACTGGTGATGTCAGTGACAGTTCCCCCCAGCATTAGTTAGTGTCAGATTGACCGCTGCAGTATCACAGTCCCATTACAAGTTGCTGGTCGCCGCCATTACTAGTATAAAAATAAATAAATAAAAATTCCAGTATACATACCATAGTTTGTTGACACTGAAACTTTCACACAAACCTAATAAAAATACACCTATTGGGATTTTTTTTAACAAAGACATGTAGCAGAATACATCTTGGCCCAAATTTATTGAGATTTGATGTCGTTTTTTATGGGATATGTTTTATAGCAGAAATTAAAAAAATATGTTTTTCTTTTATATAATAAAGATAAAAAACCCAGAGGTGATCAAATACCACCAAAAGAAAGTTCTATTTGTGTGGAAAAAAAATACACATTTTGTTTGTGTACAGCGTTGCATGACCGTGCAATTGTTAAAGTAGCACAGTGCCTCGTAACAAAAAATGGCCTGGTCATGAAGGGGAAGTAAATCTTCCAGAGGGCAAGTAGTTAGTATGTATCAGCCTGCTCACCAGGCTCCTCTTATTTTGGGTCTATGTCCCATATCTGAAATATTATATACACAGCAATCAACAGTATAACTAAACCTTAATATGAATATAAATTAAAGGTCTCCATAAAACATCCAATAATGCGATAAAGTGCTTAAAATCCACTATTGCATCCTCTTCATTAAAGTGCTTCGTGTTCTGCAAAACATACAAAGTGACCTGGTGCTCAGAAAGTGCTTCTTAATCAATGAACCCTCTGGTGAGCACACTCACCAGATAAGGTGGACCCCTTGCTGTAAGCAAAAGAGTCAAAAAGTGCTCTTTCTGGTGAGGAATATCTCCTTCTCTTCCACTCGCTGTTGCTCTCCATTCTGCTCCAAGCTTTTGGTATATAGAGCATAGCATTCAATAGACTGGTGCCTCAAAATATAAGAGGGGAAGAGGAAGCCCTCATAGCGTACTAATAACCTAAAAAAATAGATTGTAGAA